GGAACCTGTAGAAAAATGCAGTGCCCTTGCTTCTTTTTTTTTTTTTTTTTTTTTTTTGTGTGTGATGAGAGAAAACATTGAGTTTTCTCTTCTATTTTAGCATTTTGGTTTAAACAAGTTTCTTTGGATTTCAGGAATATTGATTATGGTGGTGGCCGATGCACCCCCCCCCCCCCTACCCTGGCTCGACACTAACGGGTGACTGGGGCACATGGGCCCAAACTTTAATGTGGACCTTCTATGGAAAAAAAAGGGGGGGGGGGGGGGTTTCAAGAAGGGGCCAAAATGTAAGAGATGTAAAGTCCATGTACATACAGACCATGGTTACATTGTAGTTTTAAATCGGACACTTTCTGAAATAAAAATGAGTATGGTATGGAACTCTGTCCTACTCGTGTACTATCAGTTTGTTTTATGGCTAATTTCACTCTGCCATCCAAGTTTCACCCATTCATCTACCCCCCCCCCCCCCATCTGTTTGTGTATTATGAAATGGGGTCGTATGGTCTGTTATTGTTTTTGTTGAAATTCTTTGAGACGTCACCAAGATAACAATCTTGTTTTCTCGTTAAAAGGAACTCTGGGAGTCCGGTTTGAAGTTATTGAACTAGGATATAGGAGATGCATTATTGATGCCAGATGCCCCTCACATTACGTTGATGTTCAGGGAGCAAACTTATTTCCTGACCTAATCAAAATATTTTATTTGTACTTGACAGCACGGACTACAGTTTATTCACCCTCAGTATGAATAATTTTGCCTCATATGACATATGTTGCACATACAGTATGTAGAAACTACAATACAATTCTTGGATGTGTGTTGTTGTTGTGATTACTCTATTTCTATTTGAAAATTTTTCTTTGGGTTGTTTTTTTAATAGATTGATTGCCCTGTTAAGGATTCAAGAACCAAAAGAATGAACTTTAAAACAAATTGAATTGAATTATTCCCTAAAGTTTGACAAACTGTAGAAAGATGGATAGAAAATGATACCGGTATTTGGAAGTAATAAATTTTATGAGTAATTGAGTGTTCATTTAATACTTTAACCTTCTGTAATGTACATGTACATGTACATAGAATGTCATTTCAAACACTTTCGTTTGGTAGCAACCAGCAAGTTTCTCACATAACTTTTACATTCAAATGAGGAAACAAACAAATACCATTGTTCATTTCTACGAAACTCCTTGTCAATTGTTTGATCTGATGGTTTGTTTTTTATTGACTCCTATAGAAAGCCGACATGAACAATGTAGACGTATACTTGTTTAAAGCATCAAGGAGACTATAAATGGCTGTAAGTCCTTGAGGGATTTGGTATTGAGGATCAATGCCATACCAAAAAGCACTAGCACATCGACTTGGTTTCCAACCCGAGACCTCCTGGTTACGAGACCACTGATCTACCACTGAGGCATTGCACCTCTACATTGTATATTATATTAAAGATCTTCTAAATTAAAAACCTCATTTCTATTGAGAGCTATGGCGCTGCAGGTCTTAACTCTCAGTATCACAGGGTAATGAAATTTTAGGATGCCCTGAAGTTTTGTGAGGTTTTTCCGGTTTGGACCAGATGTGCTCTTACTCCAGAAGGAAACAGCGCCATAGGCCACTCTAGATGCAGTAACCGATGATGCAGAACCTGTATGCCGCTTCCGGGTTACACATGTATGTACCGGGTAGTGATACTGCACGCCTAGTGCAGGATCACGTGGCAACTGCACTGGTATTGCACGACTGTGGTATTTTGGAGGGCAGTATGAAACTACTTCAAGTCAGTCTAAAGTTTCAGGTAGGGAACTTCAGAAGTGATTTAGAATTCGGGCTCAATATGGAAGGGGTACTTGTCTGTTATTCTGAAGGTGATTCAATCCATGAATTGATAAAGTGCCATTGAAAGATATAGCAGTGAGAGTATGTAGGATGGATCATACCGGTACAAGTACAAGACGAGTGTAATAACAACTGTTTGCTACAGTTTATTCTTAAGCTCAAGGTTTCATAATGACTTGCTAATTTTGATCTGAGAAAATTAGCCCAGGAGGCTTAGGAATGATGTTTTGAGTATTTTTTAATATCGATGTTGTAGTTCCCATCTCGCAGATTTAAACTATTGAAAATCAGCTTTTAGTTCCAATTTTCTTGGATTGATAATAATAATAATAATAAAGTCATTTTATATAGCGCATAATAATAAATTCTCTATGCACTTTACAACAATCATTTATACAATAAATTACATGATTAATCTAAAGATTAAATTATTAAGATTTGATAGCATTGAAACCTTCCGATACTGATAACCAATTCCTCTTCCTACAAACTTTGAGAGACTTATTTATATTAATTATAGTGAAAGAAAAGTATATCGTTAATAATTGTTAACATTATCAGTGAACACCCTCTTGTTCAGAAGTTGGTGCAAGTGTCTATGCAGGAGATGTGCCATAAGAACAATATCCCAGTTCTATGCATATTTGGTCTTGTTAAAGGAAAGTGTATCGACCTTATCGGCATGGAGATGGCATTAGCTTGGTGTCTGTTTCAACAAAGATTGTCAAAGTGGACTTCCTTTGTGGTGGGTCTTTACCAAATTTGCCTTCTAAGGTCTTTTCCTATCAAAATAAACACTATCTACCTATTTAAAGCAGATCTAGTTCGGACTATCAAAATTCATACATCAGGCAGTGAAGATATCCTTGAGCAATGGATTGCTGCCTGCTGTGCAGATGTTATTCATCTCTATCAGAGCAGGGAGGTGGACCTGATCAGAGATATCAGGGTAGGCATACAGGCAAGTGGGGATTCAGGATTTTGTGAAAGAGGGGGGGGGGGGGGGGGGGGGGGGCATAAAATTTCTAAATTTGCTCCACCCCACAAGATCATCACCTCAAACAGGCACGGCGGAGCACCCCAATTTGCATATCATTAGCGGCCCGTTCTATTTGAATAACCAACGGACATCTGCGTGAATCCGAACATGTGTGTGCTAGAATGTCAAATCTTAAAATTCGCGTTGCGCCTTTATTACTGCCAATATCGCTATGAAACTTTCCATACTAACTAAAATTATTATGAATTTGATGTCATTGAAATAAATACGAAATTCCATGGAATAAAACTCGAGATATTAATGTGTTTTGAGCTTCGCCCCTCGAAAAACACGACGTCTACTTTTTAAGTTTGTGACCCTATCAAGCAATGCACGAAGAAGAGACTTGGTATGAATATTCATTAGGGTTGAATCCATACATGGGCGAAATTTTCGCTTCTCCGCTGTATTTTTTTTGGTTATAACGTTCTTTTTCATGGGGCTTCATTTTTAAAAGTTGTAGTCAGCGAACTCATTGAACATGACGTCATCGATCTCAGCGATGTACTGCGCATGCGTCTTAGGCCCGGTGCAGGCCAGATCGAAACAGCTGAGCCATTAGCGTGCAAGTGTGCAGTCGGCTGGCAAGACATGTATAGCCAACGCACACGCGAGGTTCAGACATGACACACATTTGAATGTATGGGACTGGTCAAACAATTTTGCGACAACGAAGGATTATTTTTGTTCGATGAGATTCGGACATTGGGGTATGTTTTTCTCTGTTGCGACCCTATCAAGCAACTATGAAAAGAGATATTTCACAAGGATTGAGATTATTAAATTTTCTTTCTGTTCATACGAGGCAATTCTTTCTCGCTCTAAAAGAAATGGTGAATTTTACGGTGATTTTGTATCTCATTTTTTTCGTTTTTGTTCGTCAAAACTATCCCTTAAATTTCACATTTTCTGTGCATCAATAACTCTTTTTATACACATGAGTGTCTTGCAAATTTATTCAATACTCGATTTAGTAGCTTTGATTGGTGATATTCATCACATTGATGAAGAATTTGTCTTCGAAATTTGTTTACTTTTTTTCGCATCGATCGGTACACAATTGTTGATTTTATGCAAATGATGTTTACTGGACGAGAGTCGATCGCACGGTAATTGGGGTGCTCCACTGTGCCTGCAAAGAAAAGGCATGCCCTAACCCCTGCCCCCCCCCCCCCCTCCATGACATTTTCAATCAATAGTTGAAATTTGAGCCCCCTTCCATGTAACTGAGCTTTGTTTACAAAGGTCAGTGGCATATATACACCCTGCATATCTGCAGAGTTATTGACCATTTACTAAATTGTTCAAAACAACAAAGCCTTACAAATGGCACAAATTTTCTTTAGGCCCCCAAAGTCTTTGTGTACAAATTTCAGGCCGACATGTACATGTACCAAGTTTCAATATTTTAAGAAACTAGAAACTCGATCTCGAAGGCATTTTAGGCTTGTAGGCCTTCATGTACATGTACGTACAGTACATGAATTATGTTCATGTACAATATGTAATAGTTGTACTTTGCACTCAAGTCAGTTCGAAATACCATTAACCAGATTAGATGTATACAAAAACTCTTTTTTTCCACGCACAACCAGAGCATGGAATGATCTCGATTCGACATTAGTATCCCTGACTGACTCAGCAAAGTGTAAAGTAGCACTCCTTCCGAAATAAGTCCACCCTCTGCCACCCACAACCTCCAGTTTAAATTCCACTAGGAATCTTTTGGAGGAACAACAACCAAGTACCAAGTATAATGTGAATACCGGTACAAGTATCTTTTATGTAGGCCTACTGTTTATTTTTGGCTTTTAGTTTTTACGTACATGTTTTGAATGTCCATGTTAATGTACGTGTAGATATCTTGAATTAAAAATGTTAGCTTCCTTGAAAAATTTGGTGTTTGTTGTGACCATAAAACAAAAATTAAATGTCATGGTACTTCCTGGTCTTATAAAATGATTGATGATGTTTTCAATTAATAGTGGAATCTCGTGTCTGGTGTAGAATTTTGTTGTGCGTATATGATCAAGGAAAATAGTTACATGACTGCATATTTCTTCTGGAATTATCTGCATAATATGCGGTCATTCCTCATTACGTTTTATCTGTTTGTATCGCTCTGTGTGTTTTGTGTGTGTGTGTGTGTTTGTGTGTGTGTATGTGCTAGCTATGAATGAATCATACCATATACTCTACTGCATTTTTTCTTCATGACAACCCGTCCACAGTGACATTTAGTCTCTCTTTTGTGACCATTTTAACAAGCAAAGTCTCTTTTTTCCCACAGAATATGTGTTTCTTCTTCTATTCTGGTGTGATTAAGACTTGTTAATATTATTGATTAGGACAGCAAAGTAGCCATCACTTTAATTGCTATGCAGCCTGTGGTAGATTGACCCTTACAGTTGCAGGCAGCCTGTGATAGGGTCTGGGGATAGAGACTATCAACATCTAGTTAATCTGATACTGCATAAGTGTAGTGTGTGCGTCATTGCTGCATTCAGATATTCCATGGAAAGCCAGTGTGACATTGCAACTACGTTCTCTTTTCCCCGCACTGTGTGGGGGTAGGTCGGTCATCTACGTCTTGGGCTTCAGGGAAAAAAAGAAACCCCAAAAAAAGTCTTCTTGGTATTTGTTTTACAGAATTTTCCATTACTCAAGATCCTGGTTGTTGCCACCCATTTCAGTCAGACTCGATCATCCGTGCTCCAGTAAACATATTGTATTGTCTGTCTCTTGGTGCTCGTTCTTCTGTGCGGTTCATTGTTGAATACACTCTGTATCTTGGAACGTCCGTCGTCGTGTAGATTGATGCCACTGCACTGAAGGCATTCATCATTGTGCATTTTACATGAGGAGTGTACATGTACATGGTGACGTTTTACATTGTCTAACCAGGCCCATACTGAAAAGGATTTACCATAAAGCTTGGATTATGTCACATTCACATGTAAGTTTCACCTTCTGAATGTTTATCCTGTAGTAGCTTGTCTTGTTACATGTACATGTTACATGTACATGTTCAGTACATGACGTCAACAAGAGTCCATATATGTACATACATGTATATATGTGTAGGGCCTACCCCTGTTTTGTTGGTACATGTACGTGTTCTCAACCAACACATACATGTACATGTAAGCCTACTGTACATTCAGTCAAATCCAGAATGTATGTTTGTACATGTACGTGCATTAAGGCTATGTACACTATTTTTTTCTATCCTTTGTATATTCTAATCTTTTATACTCAATAATCATTTTAAAACAACACTGCAATCTATTTGTACATGTATACATGTCTATAATTATGTAGGCCAACACAAAGTTGCATGGTCTGAGTCTGAACTGGTCTTGATTTTTGTTTGCATCGTCACAGAATCTCATCATACTGTCTATTCTGCCGTAAATAGGACAGAGTACACTGCATTCATGCCTCTAGCTACCGGTACATGTAGGTTTCGTACCTTATGCATACATGTAAGGTGCTGATGGTCAGCATTAACGGCAATTAGGCACCGAGTCCTGTTTGTATCAGAATCTACAGGATAACCCTGAATTTTAACACTCTAAATTCTATCAAACCTTCAATTTCTTACTCTATGACAAACATCATTGTCCTGTGTTTAATAATTAAGCCACAAAAAAGTGGGCGTCATTGAATTAAAATGTACTTTTTTTTTGGTGGTGTTATGAAAAAACCCAGAGTACATTTACAAAGAAATGATGTAATTAATTCAGACATACAGTAGTCCGCTTATCTTAATTGGCAAACAGTATAGATCATGTACATGTAACAAGCCAGCATAACTTTTCATGGTCATATAGATGTACTATACAATGTAAACAAGTTTTCCATCAAGTCAACATGTATTATGGTAAATGCATGTTTGTATCAATTGAAAAAGTTTGAATGTACTGTATTTTGTCCTATTAATTGGCTTGCGATATGCTCAGTGCACAAGTAGGTGGGGTTTTGTTTGTTTGTTGTTTTGGTGGTTTATTTTCATTTACACCTACACATGTACTGTACACTGTCCAATTATATGTACAACTATGTCTACAATGAATATATTTATACCACATTTACTCTGACAAATTTGAAACCACAGTCTAGACAAATTTACAAAAAAAATTAAACTCTAATATTAAAAACAGGACCTGAACAATTATTTAGCTTGTCTAACATAGCAGTAAGTGATGTACATTGTAGTGACATATAATAATTCATGAATTTTTGAAAACTGCAATTATTAATCGCAATTTACAGCAAAGCAGCTCACGGACGTACCATTGATCTCTTTGTTTTTTTTAGAAACTATATATGTAGTCTGTACATGATTTTAAACATAATTAATTAGGCCTACATGTACATCTAGTACACAGGACTCTATTAAAACAAATTCATCTTTTCACTTTGTAGTAGGTTTGGTTTGAAATTTCTAGGATCTGTATGACATGTGACCCATGTTAAAATTGTGAAAATTGGGGGGCCCGGACTTTGATTTCAGATATCTACTATGTATGTCCCAGTTGAGTGATATACATGTACATGATGTGCATACGTGTACAACTGTATGATAAAGTTCAAAGCAGTAATAAAGCATGCATGACATACATGAGTAATTGCTTGTAATTGTAAGACAGCCACATTGTACTCGCTAGTTCATCGTTATCTAAAGGACTTTGACTCAGATCTGCTTATGAAGTTCAGAAAGATAGATGATAAAGATATGATTCATAACCAATGAAGATGCTGGTACTTATCTAGTGAACAATATGGTAGCAGAATAAAAAAAATCCTCTATGTACATACATGTACATGTACATGTAGGCAGGACCGTCACTAGTCCATTTTGAATGGGGGGGGGGGGGGCGGGGGAGCCGGGTGTCAATTTACCGACAAGGTACAGTAGCTGACAATTTGCAAATTTACTGACAAGGAAAATAACGGTTTGTTGGATTTTTGCTGACTGATTTTCACTTTTTTTCTTAAAGAGTAAAACAAAAAAGAAGGTCATCACTTTTAAAGATTTGGCCCAAAAATATATGTTTATGGGGAGAGTGTCACCCCCACATCCCCATTAGCGATGCCCCTGCATGTAGGCTTGATTGGATATGCCCCCCCCCCCCTCTTTCCCTTTGGATCTAATATTTTCTTTAACAAATTTCATCATTACTGTGTAGATGTTAATAGAAATGAACATTTTTTGTGAGGCATGAAGTGTACAGCTGTACAGTGTACCTGCTTGATTGATGCACATGGCCTTGTTTTGTACATGTAGGAACTAAAAAAAAGGTGTGAAATTGTTCAATTTCCTCCGATAAATTTCGTTGTCCCTCAAAGAATGTTTAGCAGGTTATAATGGAAGAGATTAATAACGCCTCTTTTTCTCAGCCTGTTGATAGCTGGAGATAGGCTAAGTAAGAGCCCCGCCCCTTGCCGTTAATGACAATGTATTTGGTTGTTGTTGTTGTTGGAGGAAGTAGACTCACCACTAATTCAGCAGAGAGCCACAATGTAGTTTTAGGGTTGAATGTTGCCTAATACTCAGAATTTGTCAGAAATTTGTCAGAAATCCAATTCATATTCATGGAGAGGTTGAACTTGAAGTGGGGGGGGGGGGGGGGGCCTCATTGTTACTTGAGTTAAGAGTCGGAGCATGGACCTAAATGGTGAGAGATAGATGCATACAGAGATATATATGCATACTAGAACATCTTGTATCTGACTGTATGAGAAAAGAGGGAGGGGGAGAAGAGTGAAAGAAAGTAAATTAAAAAGTACTTAGAGATGGACAAATTATATGATAGGAAAATTGATGCATGAGGGAAATAGAGTGGAAGTGAGGTGAAAGGGGAGAAGAGATGGTGCATATTCATGAGGATGTCAATCTACATTGTACACAGTACATAGAGGTCATGCTAGGAAGTAAGAGATGTATGTCTTTAAATGTACATGTATAATGCCTTTCCATCTCTCCTGTCTTTTTACTCATTTTAGAGACAAGTGAGAGAGAGAGAGAGAGAGAGAGAGAGATAGAGAGAGGGGGAGAGGGGGATGGGGGGGGGGGGGGGTAGATGAAGGGAGGTTTTGGGGCAAAGCTTTGCAGGCCAAAAGGATTAATTATCTTTCCAAGTCATGGAGGCAAAGAAGGAAAAAAAATCATTACAAGGGAGTAATAGTTGGAAAAGAAAACACCTGCACGGGCACTGAATCTCAAACAGCTCATGGCTAATAATTAATGCCTTCAACATGTGCACCTGCTCTTCGTTAATATTTCTAAGATTTTGTTTGACAAACACTGTTCCATTCAAGTTTACATGTAGATCGTGCAGATGTGTATACTTTGCCTTGTGGGCAATGTCTTAAATTCTGGAACTGAAAAGTGTAGATTTGCCACTGAGTTCTTTAATTCAAGAGCTTTTGATCATCATTACTACTACATAATCCAGATTCCATTAATCATTTTATAACGCTTTATCATATTACATGTACACTGCAGATTAATGCTCTGTTAATTGCTTTGCCTCGATAAATATGCTCTATATTTGACTAATATCTCTCCATTCATCTTTTGTTTTTCATTTATGCAGGCCACTTAAGAAAAGGGGCTCAGCTTGGACGGAAGCATCACATCTTGTACAGATAAGTGTCGAGAAGAAGACGATTCACCTGAATAGATAGATAGTCATCTCGCTGCTCTAAGGCCATCACGGAAACATCAGAATTTTGTCTTGCATTGTTTTGTCTCTTCCCGCAAGAGAGCTTGGAGTACCTTTCTATTCTTATCAGGGGATCTAACGGTGCTCATCAGGACATTCGTTTCCTAAAGGTAAAAAGAAGGAGAAGGCAATAGGGGGAGTGAGCTAATGGGATGCAATACCTGCCACGATTGCGAACAACCAGTATCGTGGAGTTGACTATGTCATCGAGTTTGAATAGGAACGGAAGGAATGCTAGAGAGATGATCATGTGACTTCATTTTGATCAGGTGACAGTGTGCAGTGGTTGAGGAAGGAGTCTTTGGATTAGATTACTTGTAGAATTTCTTTCTCTCTGGAAACAACAGATATTCTAACATACATGGAAGCTTGAAGTAAAGCGATCGTTTTTACTATTTTTTGAAATTCAAACCTTATCGAGGTTAGACTCATGCAACTCACAATGAAATCTGCCGACATGGACACCCGATCAGTACAGTCTGGAGGTTCTCAGGCCAACAGTATAGACTCCACCGTCTCCAAGCACCGGAAGCAAGGAGGCGGGTTCTTCCGCTTCTGGTCGGGGCGATCCAAGCCGCGCAAGAGCAGCACCGACTCGGTCCACAGCGGCGGCGGGCTCGGCACTCCGCGGAGCACGCGACAGGTCGGTCGCTCGCGCAGCGCAGCGGCTTACATCAACAGCACCTCCAAGAAGGGGGCCGGCACGATCGAGTGCCCCTTGTGCCTAATGGAACGCCCCAAGGAACAGTTTCCGGACATCATCACCTGCGACCATCGCTCGTGTCGGGAGTGCCTACGACAGTACCTGAAGATTGAAATCACGGAGAGCCGAGTGAACATTGCGTGTCCGGAATGCGCCGAGCCTCTCCACCCGAATGACATTAAACTTGTGTTGCAAGACAGTGCTCTTATGGATAAATATGAGGAGTTCACGTTACGGAGACTACTCATGATGGATCCGGATTGTCGATGGTGTCCGGCGCCAGACTGTGGGTAAGTGATTGTCTTGACTGATAAGAGACCCTAAATAGGCTACAAGTAAAATATGAGGGCAACATTTCACACAGTTTATATCAGAGCATGCAAGCTATTGGAAAGGCAATTTTATTAGAGGGATTTATAAGTCCATTACTTCACAAACATGCATGAATGTTCAACAAATTTATACATACATGTACAGTGTATACAGTATGGCAGTAGTGACACGTTGAACATATCTCCCATCCCCTCTCTCTTTCTCTTTCTCTCCTGTTACATATTAACTTATCTCTTACTGTTTTTCTCCTTGCCTTCATAAATTTTGACCTTCGGTTCAGAGAAAAAACTTTTTCTTCTCGAACAATCCCCACTCTGTGTTTCTCTGTCTGTCTGTCTTTCTGTTTCTCTGTCTGTTACTCTTTTTGTGTTTTGTTTTTTTCTCTAGACCCTTTATACCAAGTTTGCCTAGGGCAATATCAATTACGATTGCTACGTGTGCAGATAAAACATACATGCACACATGATGCTCAGCACACCAAATAAGTCTTCGCTCCTTTCCAGACATTTAGCTCAAACAGTATATAATTCATGTTGATTGCACCTTATTAAGAATTGATAAACTCTGATGAGAAAAACATGAGTGGGGGAAGGTACATGGATGTGATTTGATCTTCTTTCTGCGCATGTTTAGGCTGGACCTAAAATTCTTTTTTATGGCTGCACAAGAAACATGCACGTGCTCAGCAATGTGCTTGTCATGGTTGAACATGTAATGTGCAGACATGTACATTTACAAAGTGTACATGATACAGTACAAGAGAGCATCTCATAAAAAGTGATTTATTTGTGGAGGCCTGTTACAAGTTCTCATGTTCCTACATGTATGCCCAGAAAAGGAGTTTGTCGGGTCTTTCCATGCGCACAAGTACATATGCCATTCTCTAATTTTAATTTCACACTCTTTATTTTTTTATTTCTTCTTTCCTTCTTCTTTCCTAACATGTGTGTTTGTGTGTGTGTCTCTCTCTCTTAAGTACTTCTAAATACAGATGAACTGTAGGTTTTCTCTTTTCTATTCTGTGCCATCTGTATACATTGTACTGTACATACTGTACATGTATCACTCGTGTCTTTTGGCAAGATATTAATATGCATAAATCCGCTGACCTTACCCCGTGTGTAAATGGACACCTGACTCCCCAGTCATGACATGTACCGTACTATAAATGTAGGTTCATGCTCCATGTATAGCTTGGGTAGTTTTTGGAGTGCCTGGAGTGTACAAAAACTCACTAGAATTGTTATTATTTTACTACATTCAGCTCTATTTGTTTCAAATGCCACTTTTCTATTTAAAAAAAAAAAAAAAAAAAAAAAAAATGTTTTTTGTTTTTGTTGTTTGATTGTTTTTAAAAGAAATTAATGGTGCAATATAAAAAAATGCAAATGTACATTGTAGATGCTTCCTACAGTATCCTGAAAGGATTATCCCTTTTTTCAGTTTAGGTATTGAAAAGGAAAGTAAAGTAAAGGAAAGATATAATTCAATATCTACAGGAACACATCAAAAACAGTATATCAAAAAAGGGGAACTCCAGACTTTTCCCTTTCGTTTAAACATTCCTTCGGGTGTGATTAACCTAATTCCCCTCATCATCAAATGCCCTGGAATATTCCTTTCAAATCGGTCAGCAACTTGTTTACGCCACTCAAAATGGGTTGTGGACATGATTAACACCTTTTTGCTGTATTCTTTGCAATGTTACCCCTTTAGCCTTTACCATTAAAACATCATTTCATCTGAAGTGCTAAGATGCAAATAGCTACTGTAATAGATTACTAGATAGAATTCAACACTTGATGATCTCGAAATACAGAGTATTTGATGTAACATGTACAGTAGAACTTGGAAATACTAAAAGCTATTGTTTTTGCAAAGGTTTTAATTTTGTGAATTGTTGTAGGGTCGTGTATTCAACAAAAACGCAAAAATGAGCTAGCAATGCAAGTGTGAACATCTGCTCTATGTAGCCTTTGTTAATTAGCGTGACAACAACTTGTGAAAATAACTTTATCCTTGTCATCTGCAAAAATATCTGTGTGCCAAAATATCAGCTTAGAAATTAAATATGAAATGTACAAGGTTGTTCAAGGTTATATCGAAGATGCATGTATTCACAATACCTCTCCATTTCTTAAAATCTTTCTTTGTAGATTTGCTGTCATAGCAACTGGTTGTGCAAACTGCCCTCAGTTGTCCTGCCAGCGCCAGGGTTGCGGAACGAGTTTCTGCTACCACTGCAAGCAGCTATGGCACCCTAACCAAACCTGCGATGCCGCCAGACAGCAACGCCTGGGGATCATTCGCAAAACGTCTCTCAGTTACAGTCAAGGGTCGTCCTCACGTGAGTACTACATGAACTGCTACACTAACGTACCTTAAATTTCTGTGTATAAGATGCACCTGTGTATAGACACACCCATATTTTTTGGGCCGAGAAATTTGTTGTTGTTGTTGTACCTTTGTATAAGACGCAACCCCGACTTTCAAAAAAAAAATTCAACGGAAAAAAGGTGCATCTTACACACAGAGATTTACGGTTGTCAAATGCTGTTGAGATGAAAAAAGATGGTATGTAACAAAGACAGCATACTCCTCTTCAGCCCTGGAATAGTCGGCGTATTAATGTGTTATTCACTTTTCCTCATTTTTTCAATAAATTTTCTCCAACAATTTGATTGAGTTCTCTCCAACAATTTGATTAAATTTGTGCCCCTTAGAACCACAGCAAGATGGCTTTAAACGCTACGTTGTCCCTTTTTTTCATTTTTAGGGAGGGGGGCGGGGGGGGGGGGGGCAATGTTCAGTTATGAACTGAATAGACAAGTTCATGAATGCATTTAGAATGAAAAGGTGACACTGCAATATGACTTTTCAAGAAGTACCTGCTAGTTTAGTATTTTCACATGTTAATTCCTCTTTTGAATACCGGTATTCCATTTTTTTTTTCCTACCGCTACAGAGGATCAGATCAAACAGTGCCCTCGTTGTACAGCATTAATCATCAAGCTTGACGATGGCTCGTGTAATCACATGACCTGTGCCGTCTGCGGAGCCGAGTTCTGTTGGTTGTGTATGAAGGAGATATCGGATCTCCATTATCTCAGGTGAGGAATCGGGAATGATAAATGACAATTAATCCTCTCACTTCGAAAAGGGGGATTCCCTACGATTGGTTCTGTAGGACATTGTCTATTTTCCATATATGAATCTCACGATATGACCATTGAATAATGATGAATTCTTATATCACTGTCCATCAGTCATGGTATCAAGAGATTTTCATTCATGGATCAAATATTTGGACAATTGTCACCAGTGAATAAAATACATGGGGGCTCGGGGCGAATTAGCCCCTGAAATGCCAAAAAGATCCCCGAAAGTCATAAAAGAGCCCCCAAAATTTGCATAGAGTTCAATGCAAAACGAATTAAAGAGTGTTATTTTCATGCAAGCAAGCTTGAAAAGTAGCCCCCGAAATTTTTAAAGTAGTTTTTTTCCCTGCATTGCACAGAATCGCCCAGAACTTATTTATCTCTGTTTAATGTTGCTGTTTACAGATCCTTCCATTCAAGGGGGACATGGCAATCTGTGTTATGTATGAAACTCCATGACTACTAAGTAATGCAATGCTCATAGCCTTAATGCTGGGACCGCCTGGCTCCCGTAGGCAAAGATGGAATTAAATAAACAACAATGCCCCCCACGCACACACTGCTCATTGTTGTGACATGAATGATGCTTATGTCACATTATTTTTCTGCACCATTTTTGTTGGGGGGGGGGGATGGGGAGGGGGCAGTTCTGAAAAGGTCTGAAAAGATTTTTCATAATCATCTACCAAACTAGGAGACCAAGGCCAGTGGCAAACCTTGAAAGAAGTTTTATCTAATGTAAATAAGGGATAGAGCAACGTCGATCTGGCGCTGCTCAGTGGCTGCCGGGCTCACGATCAATTGGGCAAAAAGAATTTCCGTTTCGGTTTAATAAAATTTGGAGTGGACTATTAGGCTATTATTATTATTATTATTATTGCTTCATTGAGAATTTCAGTTGCATATGTAGCCAATATTACTGTCGTAACTTTGTTGTTTAGTGAAATACGAAACCTGTTTGGGCAATTGCAATTCAAAGAAAATGTTTCCTTTAAATGGGTGATTACAAAGGTACAGGTACATGGAGGAGCGGCAAGAAAAGATTTCAAGTCTTTCATAGAATTGTTATTGAATACATGAAACATAAAGGAAACATTAAACAGGAATGTACAAGGCCACGGTTTCAGCTGCTACTACAAGTAGGAACTAGAAAACAGCACAAATGTTGTTTGTTGATCAAGTCAGGGATTTGGAATTGGTTTCAAGAGTCACAAGTCATGTACATTTATAGGAGTGGTGTATTTTTCCACGTATGAGATATTTTTGAAATGTTTCCTGAACTATATTTGTTCACTGATCTGTGTTTTTAAGTGACTGCAAGGTTTATGGAAGCTCGTTCACCCACAGGCTATGCTTATCCAAATATACATTATCTGGGATCGGTCGGCCGGGTCGGGGGAATTTCTTTGTTTGTGCAGTCAGATAAATGCAAAGCCAGATAAAACAGTGATTTGTCATCAGTATTGTGTATTATTCATTCAAATTTGAGTGAATCATAAGAAACAAAGCAATTCTATTTTCTCACTATATTGAAGGACTGTGTCATGATGATAATGTGGGATAATTGGGACTGGGAATTCTTGGAGCAAGCAGGTTTGGGAATTTGAAAATGATGGGTATAGGGATTAGTCATCGGGCACATACTCTAATTGACACTTAATTACAATAATAACTCTATTTGTAAAAACAAATTTACTTGTAGATTACATTTCTACAGAACTTACAATGTAATACAGAGTTACAATCTCATAAAGCTTTGAGCCTATTTATTACAAAAATTACAATAATAACTAAATTGTAAAACAAGGTATACATGTAGATTACATTTCTACAGAACTTATATACATGTATAATGCAGAGTTCCATTTCCATACAGTTTTGAGCCTATTTAAATGGAGTTTTCGTCTCCATAGTCTTGCATATCAGACCTTCTGCCATGCATTACAACTGACATGGGTTTGTGTTTGCGATTTACAATACTCTGCCATGAATCATGATCTTTTACTCACAAAAGAGGTCACAGATTCAAAATACTTCTTTCTATAAAAGACGGGGAGAAATAATAGATTTGAAATGATGGTATTAGTGAAACTAAATGCAAGAGGATATCAAGGATTATAAGTCCTAGTCCTATGATCCTAATCAATGTTGTCATCATGTGCTGACTATGGTAGCTGTAAAGATGCAACGTGATCTTGGAAAGATGGTTAGGTTTGATGCACAGCTTTAGGGAGATTTGTGCCCTAAAAGCTCTTTATCCAGGCTGTAGGTCCTAAACTGAGATAGCGTGGAAGACTCATTGTAAGATGTGGTTTTCGTAACTTTGTCTTTTTGCCTCTTCTTCCCTCTCTTTTGCTTTATCTCTCTTGCTCTCTTACTGGTCATTTTTCTCTTTTCCTTCTCTCTGATGGTTTTCTCTCTTTTCATTTCTCCTTTCTTTTTCTTCCTATCCCCTTGTAATGACTTACACTCTCTTGCTAGCAATTTAATCTACATAGAGAATCACTTGAAGTTTCAATTTCCCTTCCCCTTTTTAACTAGTTCATTATCTCTCTTTTGCTATCTAGGCCTATATCATGAAACTTCATCCATTGCTGTATAGAAAAGAAAAACAAGTCTTAATCCTTTCTGTTTTTGTCTCCCTCCTTCTCTTTCTCCTTTTCTGAGAAGCAATTCCACCCTCTATCTCCTTAAATACTATCAGGAATACATGCATAAACTATATATTTATGACTAGTCGTTTATTCCTGTCAAGACTATCTAGGGTATGTTTATGCTCAATTTTTTCTGGCCAGAATGAGGCAATTGTTACGCGTTTAGTTCAAAACACGGTTGTGTCCTTTCTCATTTTTGTAGAATCACAGAAAAACGGCCGTCGTAATCGCCGATCGTAAACTCACAAAAAGGTGCATTTTGGATCAGCGATTCTGGGGAAGCATAAACGCACAATCATTCGTAAACGCGTTTAAATGGGGTGACTGCACTTCTCTGGCTCCTCCAGGCATGATTCTGGAATCAGCCAGAATCATGCCTGGAGGAGCCAGAGAAGTGAGCATAAACAGTACACCGTGGAACTGCGATTACGATGAGCGTTTCAAATCACTCATTCTGCCTTCAAAATTGAGCATAAACGTACCCTATCTATGCATAACTGTAAAGACTGTTCAGTCAGTACGCCGCTGCACGAAAACCGCCCGTATTTATCGTACTCGTATGCAAGCCAAGCGGTCAATATGAATACGTAATGAGCACACGAGCTTGAAAACACCGACTTGTTTCCACCTACACAAAATGGTTTCTTGCTAATCATTTAGCATGAACGATATGTCAAATTGAAGACAAGAAACTGCTCTTTCATTTATCTGAATTAGAAATAAACTGAACTCCATTACCTTATGAAATATTTCCTGTCAAGTACAAGCTTACTTTTTCCGTATTTTCATCGAGTTTATGATGAAAGTGAATGCATAAAAAACGTATAAAACGAGTAGGAACCTCATCAATCTTTATATTTTTGGAGAGTTTAAACATCGTTCTTTGTATGGTGTGAAGATCAGGTTATTTGATGATTCGAACGGGTCAAGTTCACGGTTTTAAAAAATAGTTCCACAATAAGAAGATACATGAATACGAAGATTTCCGATCACCTACCGAACGACCATTCGTCAAAGGTGAACGAACTTGTGACTTCGCGGTTTGTTTTCTAGGCACGAATAATGGCGTTATTTCAACATTTTAACCCTATTTCATGTAATTATCTTGGTATTTATCGATTACTAAGATTAACTATGGGCAGTGATACGATTGATTTTGGAAAATTTAGTGTTCGTTTCAAGAAATTTCAATTTGAAGAATAGTATGCGCCCACCCATACAAATTTGTGTAACGAAATTATACGACTTCACCGATGTCTGAATCAGCGAGTTCAGCTGTGTGGGTAGGCGATTTTGAGCAAAATGCAATTGTCATCGAATTTATAAATAAATAAAAATCCCATTATTATTCACGGTTATTAGTGGTATGGTGAAGTTCACAGTTGTTAGTACAAAGTTGCAAAACATAATATTGCACTTTATACTATAGACTATACGCCAGGAATGTAAAGTCCAATATCTCTCTGCTTAATTGTTGTTTTTTTCTTCCCAAGAAATGATATGTGAACATGTCGGTGTCCAATGCAGTGATTGACACTACACACAAATAAATAAGTTAAAAATACACGGGGGCAATTTTCCCTTCAAACCTTTGAAAGTCGGAGGGCAAAGCAATATTCAAGTCATTCTGTTTACAAGGCGAACTGAAGTCGCTCATGAATTTGGTCCTGCAAAGGATTGAGGTTGACATTCCCGTTAACAAAGTAACGCCTTCAATAAAGAAACACAGTCCTCTGATCAGTCATACAGTTCACGCATATACACAAACGGGATGTTTCTTTTGAACAATTGTTTTTATTTTTTTTATTTCTCTTTGAATACAAGAGACAACTTGGCAAGGTTAAAAAAATACATGTTTTGGCAGATATTATTATTCATAAGCTAGTCCAGCTGGGACACACACACAGTACTGGCTAGTTTAAGGCACTAAAGCACGGAAAATACAAAAATCCTAAGTTAAATTAATAATGTTATAACACGAATAACTTAAGTTGCTCATGTGTACATGCTACATTCTGCCATAATATATATATTAGAAGACTGTACAAGGAATATGGTAAGTGTGCAACATAAACTATTATAACAAAAAAGAATATAATATGTAATACAAACAAAATGGAGCATTAAATCAGATAAAGAGTATTGTGCATAACACTGGTTTGCATTCATACATGTGATGAATACATACTGGTAAGTGGTTTTCTATATTTAGCAAAAGAAAGAAATGCTGAAAGAACACAGGCTGCAAGGTGAACATGATCACTACCGGTAGAAGCAACATACATTGTCAAAGTTAAA